AAGGAGGAGATGAATTCTCTACTAGAAAATCAGACTTGGGAGTTGGCAGAACTTTCATCTGGGAAGAAGGCATTACACAACAAGTGGGTGTACCGGGTGAAGACTGAGCATGATGGCAATAAGAGGTACAAAACTAGACTTGTTGTAAAGGGTTTTCAGCATAAGCAAGTTATTGATTATTCCGAGATTTTCTCTCCTGTGGTGAAGCTTTGAAGCTTACAATCATCAGTATTATCTATGGTGGCTACTGAAGATCTCTCTCTTAAGCAGTTAGATATAAAGACAGCCTTTCTTCATGGGGATCTTGAAGAAGACATCTACATGCACTAACCTGAAGGGTTCGTGGTACAAGAAAAAGAAGAGTCACTTTGCAGATTGAAGAAGAGCTTGTATGTCCTGAAGCAAGCTTCTAGACAGTGATACAAGAAATTTGATAATTTCATGTACAATGCAGGGTACAACAGATATCAGACAGATCACTTTTGCTATGTCAGGTATTTTGACAATTATTATATCATCTGACTACTGTATGTGGATGATATGCTTATTGCAGGTGCTAGTATTGAGGAGATCAATAATTAGAAGGAGCAGATGTCAGAGCACTTTGCAATGAAGGATTTGAGAGCGGCAAAATAAGTCCTTGGTATGAGAATTGTCAGAGATAGAGTCAGAGGCATGTTGAGACTCTCTCAGGCTGAGTATGTGTTAGCAGGTTCAACATGGATAAGGTCAAACCAGTTGGCACACCCTTGAGAAGTCACTTCAGACTCAGCAAGAATCAGTCACCCAAGTCAGAGGAGGAACCAGATCACATGAGTAAGGTTCCTTATGCTTCAGCTATTGGTTCACTTATGTATGTTATGGTTTGCACCAGAGCGAATATTGCCCAAGCAGTGGGAGTTGTTAGCAAATACATGAATAATCTTGGAAAGGAACATTGGGAAGCAGCGAAGTGGATCTTGAGGTACCGATCTTGAGGTACCTAAGAGGCTATGAGGTACCTAAGAGGCTATGCAGAAACTTGCTTGTGTTTCTCAGGAAAGAGTTCAGAGGTACGGTGCTATATTGATGCTGATCTAGCTGGAGACATTATTACCAGAAGAAGTACTACAAACTATATTTATACTTTTGGTGGCACTGCAGTATCATGGGACTGTAATCTGCAGAAGACAGTTTTGTTGTCTACTACAGAAGCAGAGTATATAGCAGTGTCAGAGGCTGCAAAGGAGATGATATGGCTACAGAGCTTCTTGAAAGACATAGGCAAGAAGGATCAGATGGGACTTATAGTGATATTCAGAGTGTCATATTCCTTGCTATGAATCCAGCATTTCAGTCCAAGGCTAAGCTCATTCAGATCAGGTATCACTTCATACGGTCATTGTTGGATGACAGATAATTGTTGCTTGAGAAAATTTGTGGAAGCCAGAATCCTGTTGATATGTTAACAAAGGGTGTTACTCTGGAGAAATTAGAGTTGTGCGCAGCTTCAGTTGGTCTTCTGGTGTGAAGACAGGGGCCTTGAGTTGTAGAAGTGGAGGTAAAACGTTTGAGGAAAATGGCTACGCCGCCAGCTGAGGATATCAATTTGAGGAAGAAGACATTGTTATCCGTGTACCTGTCTCATAGAGCATGGTTCAGAAAATAAAAAAATAAAAAAGAGAGGAGAAAAGTAACTGTCCCGCCTCCCATTCTTTGGAAGAGGCGTGACTTTTGCTTTGGTTGACTATTTGTTGAGGTGGAGCCCGGTTCAAAAAAAAAAAAAAAGAGAAAATTAACTTTTCCCGCCTCCCATTCTTTGGAAGAGGCGTGACTTTTGCTTTGGTTGACTCCACCACCATAAATGCAAGCAAAAGAGAAGAATTAATATCTTTTCTGCCATTGAATTCCTTCTTTGAAAACCGAACTCTAAGCCGCTTCAAGAATTTGGTTCCTGTGTAAGGCTTACGGGAAGAGGCTACAGCTGACGGCTTAGGCTTCTTGCGGCAACGAGAGGGACTACTTCCGCGGTTCTGCTCACGGGAAGAAGAGAGGAAGGCTTACGGAGAGAATATCATATCTCTTTTTGGCTTCGCGTGGCTTGGCGTGAGGTTGGCGTGAGGCTTAGGAGAAGAAGACAAAAGCGGAGAGAATAAAAAAGGTATTTTATTCTTGTTTCATTCTTCTTCTTCACGGTGTAGGAGGAAGCCCACAGTGAAAGAAACATGCAGCGTCGAGAAAGAAACAACGGTGAATGAATACATCGACTTTATAATTCCTTGAAGTTGAGATAAGTGTTTCTTGTAAATTGAAACATTTTGGTGTAAATTCCTCAATTAGTAAAATCTTCTGCAACTCCGTGGATGTAGACAATTTGCCGAACCATGTAAATTTGTGCGTTATTTTCTGGAGTGAATTTTTCTCGTTCTATTTTTCGCTCCATCGTCGATCGTTTTAAATTTCATATATACCACAACACTACACTACAGTTTCTAACAAATAATGAAGTTGTCGTAGATTTGGAGTATGATTGGTTACAATGAACCTTCAAGTAGAAAATTATTATTATTTGAGGCTTGAATGCATCGATCAATTGTCAACACAGAACCATCAATTTCATCGATCAAGCTCGACAGTGAGTTTTTTGGGGTGTCACCGAAATTATTTTTTTATATAATGCCTCGGCATTGTACCTGCAGCACCCCAATGCCACAATCAATAGCGCCCAATGCCCAAAATTCGATGCCACCATGCCTATTCCAATTTTAAAACTTGAGAGCATGACACCACAATGTCCATTTGCAACGCCCCAGTCGGAGCATTGTGGTGCCACATCATGATGCCACGATGCTCGTAGCCGACATTAGGTAACTTTTCTCTTATAGTGACAATTTTGCTATGGAGTAATCTTGTGCAACCTATAGGGAAGAGTTGGATTTTAAATTTTCTTGTGCAATCTATAGAGTTCAAGTGTCCTAATTTGTCCAAAGTGTGGAGAGGCTTGAGTGGTGTGAATTGTATAGCTTATATTATTTTTTTTTTTAGTGGATTTCTTGTTGTAGTGTAGCTCCATTGTTAATTTTTTGTTCTCGAGATTTTTCACATTAAATCTAACATTTTCTATGTTGCTTCTTTCTTTGTGCATTTCTATTCAAAATTTTGTTTTGGAACTCTAAAATTGCTTTTCTCAATTTACATCTCCCAATAATGAATGCATCCATAATCACACATTGATTTCATCATTGGATCGATGGCTATGATTAAGGAAAATATTTATGAGTTTAGATTCACAAATTCAAATCACATATTATTTTATTATCTATCAGTCAATTTACATAAAGAATTAGTATTTATAATAATATGCTCGTCTAATCCAATAAACTATTCAACATGTTATGTTTGATTTCAAGATTATGCTAGATATATATATAATTTTTTTAAGTTTTCTAAACTTATGGGCATCATGTCGGTTTCCACTTCACAGAGCATGGGTTATTATTTTTGGCTCTTCAATCCTAAAATTCTATTTTATAATTATAAAACAATGGCAATTGCTTTCCCTCTTGTTACTTCTATTTTTGTCGCAACTAAACTAGTTTTAGTGATCCTTTTCATTAAAAGGTTTTATGTTTCAGAAATGAAAGAGCAATCTTAGAGATCAATGCTTGAAGTAAGAGAACGGTCCTGACTTGTGAGAGTTCATTACTTTCTTTTATACTTGACAATTACTTTCTTTGCTGAAGAAGATACGTGGATATTATCTTTTTTAGCAGAACCACGTTAATTTCTTGGTCTTGTACTTGATTTTTTCTTTCTTTTTGAGCTTTCTTATCTTGATGGCCATATCCTCCTCTTTATTGTTGTAACATTCATCAGGAGTTGGTACCACAACTACGGCTTCAACAATGAGGTCTGCAAAGTACAATATTGAGGAGTTTCTAGGGAAGAATGATTTGGAACTACGGAGATTGAAGATAAAACCTACAAGGGATTGAGGAGGCTTATTCTACATTGATCTCGAGTCTTCTAGCCAAGTTCTTCAAAAATTCATAAAGGAGAAATTAGTTGGAGTGTGGCAAAAGCTCTGTTTAATCGATCCAAAAAAATTTGTTTTCTAGACAAAAGCTCTATTAAATAAAATTGAATTCTAAGAGACCAAGGGAGAAAATGTAGGTGGCTTTAGCAAATTGAGTCTTGATTTAGAATATGTTGATGTAAATATAAATATTGATGTCACTAAGAAATTTATAAGATCAAACACAAATCTCGATTCATTTTGAATAAGCTCATATCAAATTTAAATTCAAGATTATAGCTCAGTTTTAATTTCAACAAATTTAAGCATCATAACAATGCAGCAATAATAATACTGAAAGTGGTCTAATTTGATAAACCATGTAATCAAACATTTGAAATATTGTGAAAAGTTTTACTGCATTATTTCGAAGACAAAATGATCTCAGAATTTTGTATGCTTATAATCAAATCGAACGATTTGACGAGAGAAATCCTACAAACACAATATCATTTAATTTTGAGGTTGTTAAGAGTTAAACGTTGAAAATATAATTTGTGATCAAGAAAATTCATATGGACTGCTGATTGAGTGTTTTGAAACTCTAACTCAATTAATTAAAATGTTCCCAAAGAGGATTCGAACCCCCGACTCGAGAGATCTATACCTTGGATGCCAACAGGTCGGACGCGGCATGCGTACGCGCACACACACATAGATATATATATATATATATATATATATATACCATTTTTTACTTGTGAGGCTAGGAGGAGAAGAGAATAATGAGTTGATAAATAAAGTATATTTAAAAGAGAAGTGCAAGAACGATAATTTTTAACAATCGTTAATCATCACTAGTGATTGTTATAGCCCAATTATGGCTGTGGTAGCCAATTATTATTGTGTATGTTTGTCAATTGAGACTATTATAACCACCAAATATGACCATTCTAGAAAGGGCTAAGGAACTCTGTGGCCTCCGTAGGATAAACTGGCAATAAGATCAACCAAAAACAACAATTCATAGAATTCACATACAGTACATATCACATAAACATGAAAGTTCAGCATTTACAAGGCTAAATACAAGCGATATATTTCATAGTACACATTGTTCAAAAGTACACACACAAACAATCTAATAGTAATTTCCGGCGGGCGGATATGCCCCGGAGTAGGCGTTAGTGGCAGGAGCAGCAGTTCCAGCATGTGCGTGGTGGTGATGGTGGCCAGCGAGGGGAACATGGTGCAAGCCGGCATGATGAGCTGCGGACACCGCCCGGTGGTCGGCTTTCTCCTGATGAAGATCAGCCTTGGCCTGAGCCTTCATGGCCTTTGCTCTCTCATCCGCCATATTTCTTTCCTGCCAGTTTCTAGCAGTAGCTTTCTCCTTCTTCTCCTGGGTTGCTATGGATGATACCTTCATCTTATATTTGGCTTCGCTGCCCATGTCCTTCAGCTTCTCCTTCGCAGAATGCATCTTGTTGCAGGTTAAGAGTTGATTTCTCTTATGGCTTTCAGCTCCAGAAGACTATGAGAATGGATTGTACTGACTTCGGTTGAATGAATTTATATAGGACTGCTCGGTGGAGAAGTCCCCGGAACAGTTTTTGACGTGGCGGGCATGCAAACAAGTTTAAGCCGTTGTGTCGTGTTATGAGTTTTTCTTTTAACACTCCGTCCTTGTGGCAAGTGATGCAACGGTGCTTCTCCACCTGTGGCTAAGTGTTTATAATAAAATAATTTAAAATTAATAAACAATTTTAGGTGTTTTGTGTGAAGAACAGAAATGATGGCGAATGTTTTTTTATAAATAATTCATTTAATAAATGAATTATTTTAAAACTTATTTAAATTTAAAAGCTATAAATTAAAAAAAAAATTATTTGATCTAAATGCAACTTAAAATTGGTTATTACACTCAATTTTTTTCTTCACTATGTTTAAATTTAAAATAATACGAGTTAAAATGAAATACTTCATTATTTCATTTATATAAATAACTATTACAAGAATTAATTTTTTTCTTCACTATGTTTAAATTTAAAATAATTCGAGATAAAATGAAATACTTAATTATTTCATTTATATGAACGAGACTGTAAATAACTATCACAAGAATCCTATAATATGAAAAAATAATAAAATAAAATGATATGAAAATAAAGATATATAATTTAATATCTTTAATAATCAATTCATATTAATTATTATGAGATATCGGAAATAACATAAATAGGAAACAAATAATTCTTAATCAAATGAAGTAAATATAAAATAGAAAAGAAAATATCTCTTTATTCTAAGGAAATAATTTATTTCTCATAATTTCTTATAGGAATAAATTAATTCTTATTAGAATTCTTAACACTCCCACTCAATTTTGAAATGTATGTTATTAATTCCTAACTTGCTGAGTAGTGAAAAATAATTGGACTGTAATGAACAATATGAGGCCGATGGGTCTCTCCATGGGCTACTCTGATGTCTCCATCTTCATCTCTCTCATCAGCATCTTAGGCTTCTTCGACACTCTTCAGCTCTTTGGGCTTCGGCTCAGGCTTCGGCCTATCGAGCTTCGGCACTCTAGGGCTTCGGCACTCTTAGGCTTCGACCTCTCTTCAGCACTCTGAGGCTTAGGCTCTCTCAGGCTTCCACATTATTAGGCTTTGGCAATTTTGAGTTTTGCAGGGAAAGGGAAAGAGACAGCTGCAGGAGGAAGGGTCGGCGACGGATTTTGCTGGCCTTGTTCGATCCAAGACAACGATATCTCTGACAAGATGATGATGAGGCGGGTGGCAGCATCGTTGGTGTTGCCTTGGCTGGAGCCCCATTGCTGGTGCCGACATAAGAGGATACAACATAAGAAGTTTTTTTTTCTTTTGCATGGTTTGTGATGATGTCTGCCAAACTCCAAAGCATTTTTGCTATTAATGTTTCTTGGGAGCCAACAAAAGTGAACTAAGATCCTCAACATTCTAAAAGACCTCGGAGAAGGAGAATCCTGGGAAACTAGGAACCCTTTTAGGCCTTGGCGGCAATGGCGATAGCTTGTCCCCGAAGGCGACCCGTTCTCCTGACAGTGATGAGACCTACCTTTTACCAGGGAGCATCGCGACGAAAGGTTGATGCTTTGCCAATATGCTGATGGTTTCCTCCTCCATGGGAATGCTCCACAGGGTTCATGACAACACCGCAGACCTTCGGCCAACAGTTATGCTTCACCCTGTAATTGTGGTAAACATTGTCGGCTGTGAGGACAGGCTTCGCCATTCTATCACCACCGGTGACCTAGTTGATCGTGGCTCGACATCCTCTGGGAATTATCTTCTTAGCGCCAGATGGGAGCTTGATTCTAGAAGTCCCGTTAGCAGGGTTATGGCTGATAACGATAGCGCAGTCTTCCGAAGCCCTAGTGAGCACACCACGATCTCCAACATGGTGCTCAACGTTGCATACAACAGAGCCCTCCGGGATCGAGCGGAGGGGCAAAACATTTCCAACCATAGGAGAAGCATTACGACCGCAGTACACAAACTGGCCGGTGTACATGCCTTCTACGGCAACAAAGAGCTCCTTCTGGTGCCTGTAGCGGAACAGGTGGCAAAAGGTTACGCGAGCGAGCGGAGCTCCGCAACCATGATCGTGGATGATGTTGATAACCACCCCCTTGAGCGATGGAGAAACGAGCGGCACCCTTACGGTGGTGGGTGTGGGATCTGAAAACCGACCCTGCTCCATTCCTCTGTGCTTGGATAACCCTACCGATGAGAGTGACGGTGGAGAGATGGAAGGGATTTAGAGAAGAAAAAAAAAATTTGTTTCAAATATCAAAATGAGTGTCTCTCCCTTCCTACATAGAGGATGACAGGAAGGGAGTCCAAGAATTTTCAAAGGAGGGTAGGTAGTTAGAGTACGAAACTTCGTTGTGATACCATATTAAAATTTAAAATAATAAAGGGAGTCCAAGAATTTTCAAAGGAGGGTAGGTAGCTAGAGTACGAAACTTCGCTGTGATACCATATTAAAATTTAAAATAATGCGGAATAAAGTGAAATACTTAATTATTTCATTGATATGAACGAGAGTACAAATAACCTTTACAATATTCCTGTAATAGTAAAAATAATAAAAAAGAAGTTATATAAAAATAAAAGATATATCATCTAATATCTCTAATAATCAATTCATATTAATTATTAGAAGATAATTATAATAATCAATTCATATTAATTATTAGAAGATATAGAAAATAACATAAAATAGGAAACCAAATAATTCCTAATCTAAGGAAATAAATATAAAATAGGAAAGTAATATCTCCTTATTCTAAGGAAAAAAATTATTTCTCATAGCTTCTTATAGGAATAAATTATTTTCTATTATAATTCTTAACAATAAACTAAATTTGTTTAACTCCAAATAATATGATACAGGAAACAATTTTACTAAGTGAAGATTTTCCATATAAAGGGTTATTTGGTAGCAAGATTTCAGCAGGCTTTAGCCTAAATCCGGTCAAACAGTAAAATGCCATAGAATTTTTAATCCAGATTCTTATTCTTATTTTATTTTTAAATCCCGAGTATGGTGAATCCAATTGGCAATCAGAATTACAAGATTTAGACAAACTAAAGCATGGGAAGTCGAGAGTGAGGAGAAAGAATTGATACAGATTCTTGTTGGAGCACATTAGAAGAAACATCAGAAGAAACAGAGGCGAATGAGAAAGTGGAAAACATAGTTTCATAACTTATAAAAATTTATGTTCACCAGGTATACAGAGGTATAATTATAGATGAGCTTCAGTTCATAATAACTGAAGTTAGTTACAAGAACATAAAGAAGGCACCAAAAGTGAGGAGATCTTCGTATTGTTCGATGATTATGTTGATGTTGGTTAATGACTTGGATTATTGAAAAGACCATTGGTCGTTTTTTGATATAACACCGTCTGACATAAGTCTTACACATCCTGTGTCTCATTTGCTAATTCAGGTCATCACCTGTATTGACTTATATTTTATTGGGATTTATGTCGATCTTGCAGCTGTCTTTGCTAGGGTAATCATCGAGACTCGCTATTAGGGTGATTTGCACCATACACTTCGTGAAGCTTATCACTACTGGGCAGATAAACATCTCTAGAGCTTTCTCCATATTTAGTTTAGAGACATGGGCTTTTTTATGCTTGACGTTGAAGGTCGGATTTTTAGCTTCAGGACGTCCATCATATCTCTATGATGTCCTTGTCGGTCGTCTTTATTGTTTTCTACCTATTGAATGTTTTTGCGTTGTCGGCTTATTTTAAGATACTAGCGTCCGACTCGAGTCTTGCTCTTTTCTTGTTCTCGGTTGTTTGATCTAATTTTCTTCATCAAGATTACCCCTTCTGCTAGACTTATTAATAGAAGCTTGTTTTTTTAGGTGATTTACGTGGTAACATTTGTGAAGTTCGTCGCTATCTTCAGAGCCTTAACTGATTCAAGTTTAGAGATCAAGATTCATGATGGGGGAACATTGTAGGTGTTAGGTATGACTCATATCTAGGGAGTTGGAGTTTCTTGTGAAGACGTGTCATCTGTTGAAAATGAGTGTCTCTTGGAATAAAGGGGGTTGGGGGGAGCGAGGGTTTGTATATGTCTATATATATATGCAACCCTATGGGATGTATTGTAACTTCTCTGAAATAGTGAAACCGCCGCTCACTCCCGAGGATGTAGGCAATTTTTGCCGAACCTCGTTAAATCTCTGTGTTCTTCTTCTGATTTTGTGTCGATTCTTGTTTTTCTTCGCCCTAAATTGCACAACAATTGGTATCAGAGCTAGGTTCTAGGGCAGGGAAGAAAACTTTAGCGACGCAGGAAGTAAGAATAAATATTTGGGGATTTGGAAGGAGAAGTCCGAGCGGTGGTTTTGTGGCAATTCCTCAAAAGAGTTAGCGAAGGATTTCCAAAGGATTTCAAAGGGTTCGCGAGACAGCCAGGCGAGAGGATTCTCGATTGGCAACACTTCAGGGAGGATCGCGATACAGAAGTTCGTGACATTTCAACACAGGCGAATTCGGGACAGACGAATTCAGAGGTCCGCAGGCTTCACGCGAACGCCACAGGGCGAAGGATTTGCGACACAGTTCGCTCGCGACAGGAGAAGCGGGCTCGGAAATTTTTGCGAAGGCCTTAGATCGCGACAAGAGAAGGTTTGCGATCAGGATCTGTGCGCGACAGAGGAGTTCGCGATGCAGAGGCAGAGGCTAATTCGGCGAAGAAGAGGAGTTCGCGATGCAGATCAGGATCTGTGCGCGACAGAGGAGTTCGCGATGCAGAGGCAGAGGCTAATTCGGCGAAGAGGAGTTCGCGAAGGCGTTTCTGTGTTCGTGACAGGTTCAATGCGACAGGTTCGCAGAGGAGTCGTGCAATCGAGGAATCACGACAGTTCGCGATAGGAGCAAACTTCGCCACAGAATCGCGAGGCACGAGGTTCGATTTCGTGATCCGTCGTGCAGTTTCAGGAAATATAGGAGTTCGGCCGGTTCAACAATCCGTAGGAAACAGAGGTTGTCCACCGCGAACAGGAGCCTTGTTTTGCGGAAAATCTGAGAAATTCGACCAGTTAAATTTGTCGGTTCGTCGCAGGAGATTTTGCGACAGGTGGAGTTCAGCAGGGTGTAGAAGGCGAGCAAGCACGATTATTTCGTGAACAGGAGTTTCGTGGAGGTAATCCTCGAACAGGTGCGAAGGGATTTGTGGCTCGCGGAAATAGCAATTGGTCGAGGTACTGGTACGAACAGGAAAAGTGCTTCGTGGGAAAATTTGATTCACGAATCAAAGGAGAATCGCGGGATAGTTGCTGCATTTGACAAGGAAAATTTCAGGTTTCTTTGAATTTATTTGCAGATTATTTTCTTTTATTTTTCGAAGCAAGCCAGTAAATACGGTGCAGGATTAAATTTCAAATGGCAATGTCTGGAGCAAAATTCGAGATAAAGAATTTCGATGGAACCGAGAACTTCAGATTGTGGTAAACAAGGGTAAAAGATTTGTTGGCACAACAGAGAATTTTGAAAGCTTTGCGGGTTACGAAACCTGATAATATGGAAGATGAAGATTGGGAAGAGTTACAACTTCAGCGGCAGATACCATACGTTTATGTTTGGCAGATGAGATTATGTATAATGTTATGAATCTGAAATCTCTAGAAGAAGTATGGAAGAAATTAGAATCTCAGTTTATGTCCAAATCTCTGACGAATAAATTGTATCTGAAGCAAAGGCTGTATGGGCTGAAGATTCAGGCAGACACTGATTTGGTTCAACGCTTGAATATCTTCAATCAAATAATCACAGATCTGAATTTATATAAATATAACACGGTTTGATGTGAATATTGAGGATGAAGACCAAACAATGATTCTTTTGTGTTCATTGCCTACTTCTTATGAACATCTGGTGACTACTCTTACATATGAGAAAGAAACAATTAACAATTAAAAAACAATTAAAATTGATGAGATTACTGCAGCATTATTGGCTCACAACTAGTGGAAGCAGAATGCAGAGGAAAGCTCTCATTATAATTGTTTATATGCTAAGGGTAATCAAGATCGTGAAAGTAATGAGGAGAAGGAGAATTCTCGAAGGCAAAGTTCCAGGTCAAAGCCTAAAGGCAAGAAGATTCGCTGCTTTAAGTGCAGGGAACAGGGACATATGAAGAGAGATTATCCAATGCTCAAGAAGAAGATTCGTGATGTATCTTCCAGGGCTGTGAATATGGTGCAGAGTGACACTACAGATTACAGTGATAATGATGCGCTTTCAGTTACAACAACTCATTTAAATGATGGATGGATTCTTGATTCAGGATATTCTTATCACATAACACCTAATAGAGAGTGGTTTACTTCATACAGGTTATCTGATTCTGGTTCAGTTTATTTGGGTGATAATAGACGTTGCAATATTGCTGGTATTGGTAAAGTCAGAATTAAGACGTATGATGATACTGTTAGAATATTATGTGATGTTAGACATGTTCCAGAGTTGATGAAGAATTTGATTTCCTTAGGCACTCTACACAGAAATGGTTTCATTCCTAAGACAAATGATGATAGAGAAACCATCAGAATTGTTAAAGATGCACTGATTGTGATGAAAGAGAAGATCACTGTAGGTAACATCTATAAACTGATAGGAAGTACAGTTGCAGGTGAAGATCGCTCTATTGAATCATATGGTGAAAATGCAACAGGAACTTTGACCAAGCCATGTTAGATGGTTTGGTTGTCAAACCCACTTTGGTATAAGAAATTCCATGAGATATTTCTCCTAAGGGGCAGGATATTCGCAATGCGGAGATTTTTTCTCTTAAAGGATTGGATATTCGCAAGGTGGAGATTTTCTTCTAAAGGGGCTGAATATTCACTAAGGTGGAGATTTGTTTGGTAGACATATATACCGGGTGATGCATGTCTCCTAAGTTGTTGGATATTCGCCAAGGTGGAGAATTATTAGGTATGACTCATATTTAGGGAGTTGGAGTTTCTTGTGAAGAGGCGTGTCTCCTGGTGAAAAAGAGTGTTTCTTGGAATAAAAGGGGTTGGGGGAGCGAGGGCGTGATTGTAATTTTATCTGAGAGTTTATATATGTCTATATATATGTGTAACTCTATGGGATGTATTGTAACTTCTCTGAAATAGTGAAACCACTGCTCGCTCCCGAGGACGTAGGCAATTTTTGCTGAACCTTGTTAAATCTTTGTGTTCTTCTGATTTTATGTCGATTTTTATTTTTCTTCGTCCTAAATTGCACAACAGTAGGCTGCTCTGTCAACTAAATTCGTTAGCATCACTGTCGGCATTATTACTTGAGTTTAAGTTCCCTCAGTGTTAATTAGAGCTAGGGGAACTAAACTGAGTGTTAGATGCCCGGAGTTGACTAATTATTTTTGAGGTGTCATCAGTCGGCTTTTCCTGGAGGAGTTCTCTAACTTTTGGAACCGGTACCAGTCTTTTGTTTCTAGTGTCGTTCTCGCCTCCGAGTCAAAACCTCTTGAAAGATGAGAAAAATGAGATTTTTTTTTTGTTCTGGATTTGTTGTATGAAATTTTTGGTGTGCTCCTCTTCATAAATATCTTGTTGGCATCAATTTTTTATGGCACACTGATATAGTGTCCACTTCACATAAATATCTTGCAAAAATTCACAGCTCACTTATAATGTCCCGTAGCTCAAGATACCCATCTTCTTGCTACGTGTTTAGGGCACGAAACCAGAGTACGCGGTGATTTAACTTTGCCCGAAAGAATCCACCATTGGAAGAGCTCATTCAACACAAAAGGCATGTTCGGTGCCCCATTCCGGTGTTTAGAGACCATATCACATCCACATGTAGTCTCCCGTGGACAGTCGAACTCATTGAAGCTTCCCGTCGACGTTCATAAATATCTTGCAAAAATTCACAGCTCACTTATAATGTCCCGTAGCTTAAGATACCCATCTTCTTGCTACGTGTTTAGGGCACGAAACCAGAGTACACGGTGATTTAACTTTGCCCGAAAGAATCCACCATTGGAAGAGCTCATTCAACACAAAGGGCACAGTCGAACTCATTGAAGCTTCCCGTCGACGTTCTGGGGAGATTAGGGTTCAAAATATCGTACTTGCACGACATTGGGGGCATTGTTGGCACCAAAATCCATGGATCGAGATCGACAAAGATGCTTATTTATGGGACATGAGACTTATATTTTAGTCATATTTAATTTTGCGTAGTTTACGGATCGAAAAAAAACCTTAAAATCTAACACTTACGGTGAAAATTGATTTTTTGCGCCAAGGCACCAGCCCTGAGTGCCAGCCCCAAGCACCTAGGTGCGCCTAAGCTCCCACGAGATTTAGAACATAAAAGACAAAAATTTGAGGCTAAATTCTGACGCCTATGCGCTAAGTCCTGATGGACGTCAGTTTCAGGTCAAGCACCTAGGTGCCCAGGAGATCTTACGAAGGGCGAGCGGCTGGGCACTTGCGAAGAGAATGAAACGGAAGATCTTTTTTCGCTATTTTCTAACTCTAGAACGAGGAAAATTAGACGATGGCATAACAGTGTCCTTCGGGCATAAATAAAAAAGTTTCATGACCCCTACATGTAGATAGCACTGTTTGGTGGCCTCCCAATGTATGAACACCCACTTTTTCGTGTGTGTGTGTGTGAGGGTTAAAGAACTCTGCTTTCTCGATAAGATAAACCGGTAATATGATCAACCAGAAACAACAATTCATTGACTTCAAACAGATCGGATAAACATGAAAGTTCAGTACTTACAAGGTTAAATACAAGCGATATATTTCATAGCACACACTTTTCAAAAGTAGACAACACACGCACACACACAATCTAATAGTAATTTCCGGTGTGTGGATGAGCCCCGGAATAGGCGTGAGTGGCAGGAGCGGCAGCTCCAGTATGTGCATGATGGTGATGGTGGCCAGCGAGGGGAACATGGTGTAAGCCGGCATGATGAGCTGCGGACACCGCCCGGTGGTCGGCTTTCTCCTGGTGAAGATCAGCCTTGGCCTGAGCCTTCTTCGCCTTTGCTCTCTCATCCGCCATTTCTCTTTCCTGCCTGTTCCTAGCAGTCGCCTTCTCCTTCTTCTCCTGGGTAACTATGGAGGATACCTTCATCTTATATTTGGCTTCGCTGCTCACGTCCTTCAGCTTCTCCTTCATAGAATGCATCTTGTCAAGTTGTTCTACGTTCAGGATTTCAGCTCGTGAAAATTTATGACTGGGAATTGAATTGCCTCATGTCCTGGGTAGAATGAGTTTATATAGGAGTGCTGAGAGGATAAGCACCGAATAGTGTTTGATGTGGCAGGCATGCAAACCAGCTGAGGGCGTTCTGCATGAGTTTTTATTTAACACACCGTCCATGTGGCTACTGGTGAGACAATGATCCTCCACCTGTTCTACATTCTTATAATAAAATTATTTAATATAAACAATTTTTGGTGTTTTGTGTGAAGTATAGAGATGATGGCGAATGTTTCTGTAAATGACAAAATTCAATAAATACTTTATTTTAAAATATATTTAAATTTAATAGATATAAATTTTTTAAAAAATTATTTTATCTTCATAGATTTATATATATATATATATATGTATATATATATATATATCATAACTCCGAATAATATGATATAGGCATTCTTGCGCACTGACAAGGATTTTTGTAACTTGTAACTCCAAACAATTTTACTAAGTGAGGAAGTTCCATATAAAGGGCTATTTGGTAGCAATATTTTGGCAGAATTTGTGCTTTTCGGTAGCAAGATTTGAGCTGGCTTTAGCCTAAATCCTGCCAAACAGTAAAAATGACAACTTTAAATCCTATTTCTTATTCTAATTATTTTAAAATACCGAAAATAGTGAATCCAGTCGATAATCAGAATTACGATGTTTAGACAACATAAAAGCATGGGAAGTCCAGTGTAGGGAGAAAAAAATTGATACGGATTCTTGTTGGAGCACATTAGAAGAAACAGCAGCGAATGAGAAAGTGGAAAACATAGTTTCAAAACCATTATAAAAAATTACATTGGTCTCATAATAGGTCATAATAGATAGGCTTCAATTCAGAATAACTGAATTTAGTTACAAGATTGTAAAGGAGGCACCTGACATACAATACCAAAAGTACTAGATATTGCTTGGTGATAAATGTTTTTGTTGTTTGATAATTTGGACCTTTGTGAAGATTGTTGGTTATATCTCACTGCTAGACATAAGTCTTACACTGCATGCCTCATTTGTTCGGCCGGGTCATCGTCTTGGTTGAGTCTTACCTTTCGTTGACTTAAGCGGATATTATTTCTGTGTTAGTTGAGGTGACTTCCAAGACTCGCTACTGGGATGATTTGCTTCATATTCTTCGCGAAGCTTATTGCTACTGGGCTAGAAAGCACTTCCAAAGCTTTCTCCGTATAGAGTTCAGAGACATGGGCTTTATTATGCTTAGCGTTCAGGTAAGAGTTTTAGTGTTAGGACACGGATCAGACGTCTATTGTGTCACTCTCCATCTTATTTTTTTCTACGTACCGATCAAATGCCTTTTGCGTACCGATTGGTTTATTTTAAGATTCTAGAGCCCGGTTCGCGTCATACCTTTTCCTAGGTCTCGGTTGCTTGGTCAAATTCTCTTCATCATGATTACCCTTATGCTAGGCTTTTTAAGTGGATCCTATCGTGCTTTCGCGGAGGTAATCATGGAGGCTTCATTTTGGGGTGATTTACTAGGTATCCTTCAAAAAGTTTATCATATTGGGTATGAAACTACCTCTAGAGTCTTATTCGATTCAAATTGGAGACCAAGTTCCAAAATAGGGAGCATTGAGGGCCGCTCTACTGACCATACATCTTTGGGATCATTGTTAGCATTGCTACTTGGGTTCGAGTTCCTCGAATGACAATTGGACCTTAGGAAAATATTAAAAATGTTTATGTATTTTTTGATAATAAAAGAAATATAGAAGGTTTGAAATAAGACTAGGTGTCAGCCGCCCGAAGTTGAGGTGGCATCAGTCGGCTTTCCCTGGAGGAGTTCTTTGACCGTTGGAGCTGGTTGTCATTTTGTAGTGTGGTTTTTGCCTCCAAGCCAAAACCTCTCAAATGATAATGGAAGCCAAATTTTTCAGCTCTTAAATATGTGTTGTATGAACTTCTAGGTGTGCTCCCCGCTAGGAGTGTCTCTATAGTGGTTCTCTAATCATTGTGTCGTTCCTCTTCTTGTTTGCTAGCATGATGCATGCTGACCACAGCTTTCAAGATGTTAAATCTAAATCTATCATGTGAAACATGATGCCCAAGAAATACAGTCGTTGGAGCCAGGGTGGAGAGAAAGAGAGGAAGTGAGAGGGGGAATGCACAAGGACTTGCCTCTCTTGGGTGAAATGTGTATTCTCTAGCTCTTGTGTCTATTTTAGATATCGAATACGGAGGTTACAACGAGAAGGGAAGTGATTCTCCATAGGAGAAGAGTATAGAGAGAAGAGCCAAAAACTTCTAAAATATGATTGGTCCCCCTATCTATGAGAGAAGAAAAGACAAAATGTAAAATAATATAATTTACTATTTTTTTAGAAATGTTGTATATAGTCTTTTGGTCTTTTTTTGTGACAGAACCTTTTGCTCGGCAAGTCTTTGGGTTGTCCAACTAAGCTGATTTTTGTCTGCTTTCGTTTAGGCACCAATCAGCCTTTGAATGGAAAGTCAGTTGGTTCTTGAGTGAGATGATCAGTTAGCTTTCAAGTGGCTGACCAACTTGCCTAATTATTGTTTATTGGTGAACTTTGGTGATCTTTTGGGGAGACATTGAAAGAGCTTTGCGTTGATACTTGTTTGATAGTTTAGGGCACTAGATCTTTGTTCGGTCGCTACCTTTAGAATGATCGTCCCACATGCATATTTTCTATTGGCTTGGGTGGCCCTTTAGCCAATTGATCTTACCTTCGGTCGCCTTGAAACCCTTTAGTTAGTCGGGTCGGTCATAAGTCAATCTGATTCATGAGAGCTTATGGTTTTTCGTCAAAGGGTTTCTCGTCATATTGCCTTTAATATTGGTTATTTGATTATCTCGAGATTTGTACTAACATATTTTTTTGTACTATTTAAATATATATTGTTGAATCTGAGATTAACCAGTGAAGCAAACAAAAGGAATAGAACATAAAGGAGAAAAAGAGAGAGACATTACAAGATTAGTTAGAACACTTCAATAGTTCTTTAATATAGAAATGACCATGACCACCACCAGCCAGCCGTCCCTTTTTCTTGGTCAGCCCTTCTTGGTCAGGTCGGCCAACACCAGTCGGCTGGCCATCCCAATCCCTCGGCCGGCCTTTCTTGGGCACACACTACCAGTTGGTTGGCCTCCTTCCAGTTAGTTGACCGTTCTTAACCGACCACCTCCAAGATTCGGGCCCTCTTACTCCGCTCAACAAAAAAAAACTTCTAAGCTAAAAAAAAAACTTACATAAGGTTATCACAAAATTTGTGGGATTTATGCAGCCTAGCTAGGTAGTTTCTTATATCCAAAAAAAAAGCTACTCTTCATGTTATTATAAGTCTTAGTTGCTCTTTTATACCTAACCATCGGCTACTAATCTAAGTCCAAATTTGTACTCAATGACAAAATATTAGACACGGAGTCAGCATATATGTGTACTTCTTGCATAATCATATTGTATACCGTTTTGACGCATGTGTACAACGGTGTATAACATGGTTGCACAAAGAGTCTACATGCATGCATACTCCACAGGCGATATTCTCTCATACTCAAAGCATTTATATATAATTTTAGATTATCTAGTATTTATTACATGTATAGCTCATTTTAACTTATTATATTTCTTCTTATAAGACTAGAGACCCAAAATCTTGTCTATAATTAGAGAATCAAAGAGAGAAATACTTATGAATTCTTGACTTTCACAATGTAATGTTGAACCAGAGAAACTATAATGCATTTTTCCTCCACTCTCTTATCTTATTTCCACCTACTATCAGCTTCTTTTTCCTTGGTTAGGAAGATTTTGACGTAACCCGAGAATAAAACAAGATTCAACAATTTTTCAAACCTAAAAAATGTTAAAACATTGTTCCCTTTTGAAAAAGGGAAACAAATGAGTCCACTCACTTAGCGCGCTTAACTTTTTAGTTCCTTAAATATGGCTATGAACAAGACCTTAAATCTTTAAGAAAGTATAGGCAACTATTTCAGGTTGCCTAAAGTTCTTTTCCAGGGTAATAATGTTAATGCCAAAAGGAAATAAAATAAGAAATATTAAATATGAAAATTAAAAATTAGCTTTAGGAATAAATTTTTGCCTAGAACTGACGAGTATGGTTATGACTCTGTTTGCTTACAATTCTGCTGTTTGAGAAAGAATTCCACAAGAAAATTTAGATGGAAAATATTGCAAGACAAAAAGAATTCCCTAAATAAAAAAGAAAAGAAGTTGCATCTAAAGAGCAGCGGCTCACGTAACATAACAAAAATACTCAAATTAAGCATACATGAAAGGACCCATTTATTTGCAATGATAGGGGGTGATCGCTCTCACACGCAAGAGAATTTATTATGTGCGGAGAGTAGCACTTATGGACAGCCGCTCAAGGGGAAGCCCATTACCATTTATGTGAATCTGTTGTGTTGTGCTCTCCCCTAATGTCGTGTGTGGAGCCCGTAAAAAAAAAAAAAAAATGCTGCCTTAACTAGTACCGTTCCGCTCGCTCCCACGACCTTTTTTTTGCCATTGGCGCTAACTCCTTTAGTTTGCGAAAAATGGAAAGTTGCTGTGCTCGAGTGCTCGAGTGCTCCAGTCCCCGTCTCTTGCTCGAGTGCTCCAGTCTCCATCTCTCGCTCGCAATACAGAAGCCTTGCTCCCTCTACGCGACTTTGCTGAAAGTCTGGTGGTTCGATCGAGAGGGAGGAATCGTCACTCCCTTGATATTCCTTATCGGCATGTGTTTTTGCAAGGTATTGTTTTTAAGTACTTGGCAAAAGGAAGAAAAAGATAGTGGAAGAAGAATATAGTGGAAGAAGAATATTGTTTTTCTTGATTTCTTCTTGTTGGCTTGTGACAGAAGAGAAATAAATTTTTTCTCTTGTATGTATTTCTTCTTCTTTGATTTTCTTGCTCTTGGGTGAATCTCGGTGTAAAAAGAGAGAGAGAGAGAACAAGTGAGAGATCCTGTAATTGTCGACGTGATCAAACGGTGTAAATTCCTGAATTAGTAAAATCC